CGGGCTCTCGACCAATAGGAGTGGTATTTATGCTTGGTAATTATTTTGTTCCAGAATTTTTCCAAGTCGTCAGCTCTTAAGTCGTTTTACCGAGTACTGTCCACCAATGTCGACAAGAATGGGAAAGTCTTTATCTCTACAATAGAAGGTAAGAATAGACACATGGTACCTAAGTGACACGCAAAAAATGCACAAGATGCTGGGAAAACCAAGGGGAAACAATGCTGTTCTTGAAGTGTGGTTCCCTTACCCTACTTCAGACGAACCAGAGCAATTTTTAGACGTTGGGGAATTGCCAGATCAGGGAAGAAGACTAGCTGGCTTGCATCCGTTCACGGATGTGTAACCGATTTTGATAATTAAATTTGGTATATTGGAGGGCAGTATTTGAAAAAAAGTATGTTTTTTTCCATCGATGGTCCGCCAACCATCGTTGGAAATTGATACCAAAATTTGAATTTCGTTGAAAATGACAACACAATGGGTGCCACAATTTCACAGGATGCTTGAGACTATTATTCACTTACAGTCAGTAAGGTATTTCATAATAATTTGTTAGGTTTGTTTCTTGATGTTTTCAAATGTTGTATGTTACCTTTAAATGGGATTATTCAAAATGTTATCTACAAGCCGTTATGTGTATGTCAGAAATATCTGCTCGATTGGCATCATTTTAGAGTAATTATTGTTGAAACACATACTTGGCTGAAAAAAAATAAGGGAACTAAACTCCCTGTGAAATTGTTCTTTCTGGCATGCTGTCATTTTGAAGAAAACAACGAAAGAAGGCCTTTCCAACCATACGTCTCAAGATGCATCGTTGGAAATTTCCGTTAGTACTCCGTTTTTTTATTCGGCGAAGCGCCTGCAAGCGTTGACACGACGCAAACGCGCACGCGGTTGCTATAATTCGTCGGATCAGTGCGCGACATCGCGTAGCTGCAATCGGCTCAGTGAGAATGTGTCGCGGACGCTGAATTCAGGCCCAATTCAAAACATGATTCAGCACTTTTTGATTTGAAATGGAGATCCTAGAATGTTGTTTTTCTCGAAATATACAGCTGAAACTGAGCTGAAACTTCATCAGGTTTCAGCACCCTTCTTTAGATTTTAAGCACTTTTGTTGCTTCAAACGAACAAAATGCACAAACTATAAATGATGGACTGTACCTTTAAACTGCAAGAGAGCCTCTTAAAAATGTCATTCCTGCTGTCACTCTGATTGTTCCATAGCAATGTATTACCCCATTTACGGCGTCCAGTTTCATCCGGAGAAGAACCCTTATGAGTGGGAATCCAAGAGTATCAATCATTCATACGATGCTGTTAAAGTCACTCAGTTCTTTGCAGATTTCTTCGTTTCAGAAGGTGAGAAACATTTATGTAATATGGGCTATAGAGGCCCCCTTATAATGGCGAGAGCATTATGTCATAGCTTCGGTTTGCGGTAACACCATGTGGTTGTGTGCACTTTTGCTCAGAACAGGGCGAGTCCCAAAAAAAGGAAACCCAAATGGCAGGACCATTTTCTTAATAAAGTTCTGCATGTAGCACTTTCAAAATCTAGTATATGAAAGCCCAATTAATAAGCTTTCTTTCAGTACAAGAATCATTCAAATCACTCATATACTTTTCAAGTTACGGAATTTTAAACACAACCACCGTTTAAAAGTTCTGTCCATGGGTCTCAAAAAAGATGCGTGTTCTTTCAACAAAATGAACACAATTCACACACATCCCTATTGTTTTTGTTTTGCTGAAAGAACACTTCACTTTTTTGTGATACGTGGACAAAACTTTAAAACAGTAGTTGTGTTTAAAAGTATGTAGCTTGAAAGACTTTCTTGACCTTATGACTTGACTCGACTCACTTCCTTCAAATGACTCAACTAGACTATACTCTGTGACTTGACTCCTCGACTCGACCTTCTTGACCTAATGACTCCACTCGAGTCAATTCTTTAAAATGACTCGACTCAACTCCAGTCACAAAATTCAGTGACTCGTCACAACTATTGACTCAACTGCAAATTGTACTCAGCACACAAAGCCTTAAATCACATTCATTCAGCATTTCAAGATGCTTGTTCACATTTTTATCTCGTCTCTACTGAATCAACCTCCTGATGTTTCTCTTGACAGCTCGCAAGAGCTACCACTCCTTCAGCCCCGGGACTTTGGACAAGTACCTCATCTACAACTACTGTCCTGTCTTCACCGATTCGTACTTTGAACAGGGCTACTTCTTCAATGTGTCAAGTACTTTAAGAGAAAAATTAACCTATTAGTGCCTGTACAACCCCAAACCACCCTGCCTATCACTCCCTGTACCGCACATTACACTATCGTTTTCAGTCTTAGAGTCAAGTCCTCACAAGTCCATCACAAGTCCTTGCAAGTCCTCACAAGTCTTCACAAGTCCTCACAAGTCCACACAAGTTTTCCCAAGTCCTCACAAGTCCATCACAAATCCTCACAAGTCCTCATGAGTCCTGTAAAGTCCTCACAAGTCCTCACAAGTCCTCACAAGTCCTCACAAGTCCTCACAAGTCCTCACAAGTCCTCACATGTCCTCCCAAGTCCTCACAAGTCCTTGCAAGTCCTCACATGTCCTCACAAGTTTTCACAAGTCCTCGCACGTCTTCACAACTCCTCACAAATCCTCAAAAGTACTCACAAGTCATCCCAGGTCCTCACCAGTCCTCACAAGTCCATCACGTAGTCCTCACAAGTCCATCACAAGTCCTCAACTCGTCACAAGCTATTCAAGTGCACTGTAACAAAGGCATTCCTTTGTTGTTGTTCACCCCCCTAGTACTTGTGAGTAGACTTGTGAAAGGTACAAGTTTGTGATTTACTTTATTGGTTAACCAGGGCATAAATGCAGTGCAAAACAATGTAGTACAGGTACTAATAGGTTTAAAAAAACACCACCTAATAAGGCCTTTTCACACTAGACAAGTCTCGGGTCTGACTTAGTTGAATATTTTCAACCCTGCGTCAACCCTGAGATTGTTTTCACCCCGGGTTGAACTCAACGCTGCTCCAGCTAGACTAGAGTGAGATTTTCAACCAGGGTTGAAACTCTCACCAGGGTTCAAGACAGTAGTAACTGAGCAAAATAAGCTTGGTTTGCCTGCAACAAGTGTCAAACAACTCGGAGTGAACGCACAGTTGAAAAATCAAAAATTCAACCCGGGGCAACACTGGGTTCACCTAGGGTCGAGTTCACTCCGGGTTGAGAGGCTCTAGTTTGAAAAGGCCTATAGTGGTGTTGCGAATACATCTGGAAGATTGTGCATTGAATGTTACAGCAATACAGTCGAGTCTCGTTATAACAAACTCGTTCGGACCTAGCAAAATTGTTTGTTATATCAGAATTTTGTATTAAGAGGAACATCAGTCTCATTCATTGTGCACATAAATGCACAGTCGGGACCAAAGCTTTATGTTTGTTGTAACCAGAATTTGTATTAACAGAGTTTGTACTAACGAGAGTCGACTGTACATAAAAAATATAACAAAACAACTTTTTGACATCACCGGGTAAAAAAATGATTTGCCCTTCAATCTGTGTGAATAATTAACCAGCCATAGGCCAAGAAGCATGGGTCATGTGGGGCAAATTGGGGGGGGGGGGCACATGTCTCTTCTCCGCCCCTTCCTTTGCACCACCGATGTCAATTTTAAAGTACTTTATGCTGTTATTGATCTTTGTATATCAGAAGATGGGAGATTATACTTTCTTTGAGTGCTATTATTCAATGGAATTAATTTATCCTATCTGGCTATTTGCAGTACCAAACTTATACATAACGCACACAGAATGTATTAGCCTGGAATGTATTAGTAATTCTGGTCGTGTTTGTTTTAAGGTCGTTAGAATTCATCTGTCAGTTCTGCAAAAATCATTTTCTTCATTTTAATGACAACACTTTCAATATGTAGTTTAAAGTTCAACTAAGTAGGAGCTCACAGATACTTTTTGTGATGATAACCTTATTTTTGTAATCCGGACATTTTTCTAAAAAGAAATTCTTAAATTCCAGTGTGCCTTTTATAAAAGTGTTGTTTATAAGCTTATGTTATGCACATGTCTACGTTATATCTATGTAAAAAATCTTGAATAAGTGCAAGTAGATATGGATGAATATTTTTTTATAAATGAATTTAATAATTAGACCTAGATTTTGAGCACTTTTGTTACTTCAAAGGAACATAACGCACAAATAACAAATGATGGACTGTACTTCTAACCTTATATAACAGCCTGAAGACATATCAGTTTGTAATACGATCATGGTGCTTATAGCCTATGTTCTGTATATTGTGGCTTTTATATTGAAATGACTTTTATATCATTCATTTTTGGTATTTTATAAATATGTTTTTCATCTAAAACACTTTTGCTAAAGGTGGTGACAATACTTTTTTGAAAGTCCTTTGAAATGTGATATGCTTTTATGACATTGAAAATACTATTTTGAAATAAATATTATGCAAAAATTCATGGAGTACTTTATTAAGAAATAAAAAAGCAACTTCTATTTGAATTACTGTATGTGTGCTGCTGATCCATAAGTATGTTTATAAGTGTAAAATCATCATGTCTCGCTGGAAAAATTGCCTTCTTGATCAGTGCCATCAATGTCATGGACCTCATCTGCTACCCCCCCCCCCCCCCCCACCACCACCACTTCCATCTTTGCTCCGCCCCTGTCCTGATATCCTCAACATCACATAATATAAGTTGCTTGAAGAGCTATTCCCTTTGAATGTCTCAATTGATCAAAACACTTATTAAATGTCCTATATATGCATATTAAATCGACAAACAACACTCGCTGTATTTTCCGGACAAACAACTTGTATTGATTTTTGCGGCCTTCTTTTTTATTATCATCTTTGGATCTTTTTAGGGCGCCACCTATTTTCTGCTGGTCGATCGATCCACCATATGCGCGTACGTAATGCGCGCGCCTGTTGATCGAATACGATCAGATAGTGTTGTTGCTAGTGTATGGCCGCAGTGCACAAACACGTAAAAGACGTTTTGAGCTCTTGGAGGACAGATCAAAACTGCATTTTCACGCCGAGCAAAACACTCTAAGATAATTATTTCTGCAGTCCGATGTAACTGGCATTCGTTCTTGTATTCGGCTCCTAGGTTGTGATCAAGTTTCCACATCGTGAAACGGTTTTTGTCTCTAGTTTTCATTAGTTGAAAATCACAATGCCGTAGTCGGGATCGCCGAGGCGCCACCGGGCAACGGACCACGCGTCTCCCGGGTCGTTTGCCTCGTGGACCCGGACGGACAGCATGGCCAGTCACGGTGACCGCGCCGGTGTGTCAGCGTGGAAGTTGTTCCGATTGGTGATACCGTCAGTCACTCGAACTTTAGTTACCTAAAACTCTACAAAAAAGAAGAAAAACATACTTGATTTAGCCTCTGGCTAAGATTTAAAGTGAAATTCTCCGCTTCTTGAGGATTGTGGAAGGAGAAAAGATGGAGAATTCTCGGGAGAAAAAGAACAACAGTGACTGGAAAAACAGCCAGTTTACGGTGAGTTATAATTTTCGTAAAAATGGCTGGAAAATATGAAGTATCAATCCTTCCTCTGTCAAACATTGTCATCCAGGCGATTGAGATCTTCTGATGCTTCTTTGCTTGTTGTCCCTCACACTCACAAATCTTGGGGTGATTATGATCATTTTCTTACGCAGGTCCTCATCTTTGGAACAAACTACCCCTCACCATTCGCAATATCTCATCGCTTTCTGAATTTAAAGTAACCCTGAAGACCTATTTGTTTCAGATCACTCAGAATATTCTCGTTTAGTTAAATTTAATTGTTTTGTTGTTTCGTATTGTGCCATGTGGGTCATTTATGGCGGATACTGGCGCGTTATAGCCTAAATTGTCATTATTATTATTATTGATGTTCAGTCATGATCACAATTACATCAAAATACATGTACGTTGATTATTAGGTTTGACAAACATTCAAATTTGTTAGAAAATAGGTTTTAAACTTTTAAAGTAATAAGAACAGTAGGCCCTATAGGACTCGACCTGCAGTGTGTCACTTGGATTGATTTTACTTACATTTTCAAGTTGTTGATTAAAAGGTAATAATATGATATATTGAAAATATTTCAAAGAAAATAATCCAAAAAAACATAAAGAATGAACAAAATTATAAACTTGTTGATATGAATTTATCAGTGATATGGAAATACTTTTTTTTTAACCCAAGTCAATTTCATTTCAACCTTAGTTTCATGTAGACCTCCAGTGCATCGATCTGGACTGCAATACAACTTGTAGTTTTATAAGTGAAATAATTGTTGTGATAAAAGCTGTGAGCTTTAACTGATTTGATGTTGATCATTGTTTTGTGTTGACATTAAAATGTATTATCAAACATTCATAAAATTATACCTGAGACAGTTTACCCATTCTTATTGGTTGACAGCCTGTCCCGTGGGTGTTTTCAAACCGCAGGTTTGAAAACACCCACGGGACAGGCTGTCAACCACCGCTGCGTTCTGTACCCGCATCTCGTGCGCGCCAATTTGCACATTTAAAGCTATAGTCCATCATTTGTAATTAGTGCATTTTGTTCGTTTGAAGCAACAAAAGTGTTCAAAATCTAATGAAGGATACTGAGCAACTAACCTGATGAAGTTTTTAGCTAAGCTTCAGCTGTACATTCCGAGAAAAGCAGCATTCTAAGATCTCAATTTCAAATCAAAAGTTACTGAATCATGTTTTGAATTGCTTTGAATTGCAGCTATACGCGGCGTCGCGCACTGATCCGACGAATTATAACAACCGCGCGCGCGTGTGCGTCGTTCAAATACTTGTGCGCGCTGCGCTGAATAACAAAACGAACTACTAATTTAAATTTTCCTATGGTGCTTCTTAAGAATCACCGTTGGAAATTCCTTCTTTCGTTGATTACTTCAAAATGACAGCTTCCCAGAAAGAATAATTTCACAGGGAGTTTAGTTCCCTTACTATCTTTCAACCAAGTTTGTTTTTCAACAGTAATTACGCCAGTTACTTTTCGGATGGCTGCAAATGATGGACTATAGCTTTAAGGAGATTTGTAGCACTACGCGCATGAGGCACATACTCATTGCCACAGTTCCAGATCACTATTTATACAAGCCGCTGTACATGTACACCCGTCCATGTTCGGAGTATCTGTGTCCGAGTGACATCATTTATTTTAACAGTAAAATAGCTCCTATTCAAGTTAATAACAAAAAGGCTAGATGTTCACACAGACTCAACTTTACATGTAAAGGGACAATTTATAAATCATGGCTTTTGTACAGGACTTAACCCGACAGTTGTGGCTCACTTTTGACAGAAGTTTCCGGATCACGCATGCTGTGTGTAACAATTCTGAAACTATTGCATGCAGTTGGAAATCGCATTATGGCTTAGAAGTGTTAAAACAGCCATTTTTATAACACCTCACCCACAGATTCTGTGTCTTGATTGGCCGAGAGCGAGTCACATGTTACTTTCTAATTTTGCTATTTCTGTGCATGGTCAAAAGTACTATACCCGTAGCAACCAAAGTACTATACAATTAGCAACCAAAGTACTATTTCCACGTCGCGGTATTTGTGTGCAAATGGATGCTGGTGTGCGCGTTGCGCGTAGCGCGTATTGTTCCAAAGAGAGCGCGCCGCAGACTTGGGTTCATACATTTCGTGAAGGGGTAGTTTGGAAGAAAAAAATACATATTTCACCAATTTTGTATTGAAATTGAAGTTTATTTCAACTGTGTTCAGATTTAAATAATTTAAAATATTAAAATCAAGCAGAATCTGTGGGTGAAGTGTTATAAAACAAATATTGAATGCTTTATCTCGTGGTAAAGTAAAACTAGCCTCCCTCGGTGATCCATGGAACATTCTATTTTCCCTCGGCTTCGCCTCGGGAAAACAGAATGTCCATGGATCACCTCGGGAGGCTAGTTTTACTACACCACTCGAAGCATTCAATATTTGTATAATGTAGATTGCTGAATAAATGGTCAAATATGTTTTACAATCTAAATGTAACTGTGGAGTACGATATTATTTCATATTGTGAGTTGTGTTCAAAAACTACCTTTATTTTAGGGATAAGATGTTTCAGACTTTTAGAATCCAAGGGAAAGACATTCGCCTGTCATTATAGAAGGAAACTCATGTTTCATCATTTTCATTAAGTGACCATATCATCCCTATATTTTTCAATTTTTAGGTTGCAGTCAGGATTCGTCCCATGACTACAGCTGAGATTGAAATGGGCAGCACAATTACTGCGCAGTCTATCGACGACAATGTAAGTGTGTTTCCAATTCTAGAAATTCATTTCCTCCAAAAGATCCCAACATTCTTTTAACTTCGCAGTCTTTGCCTATCCTCCCCCCTTTTTTTAACAGGGAATGTCAATGTTTAGATTATTTGAATATTTTGATAATTTGAGAATATTTTGAATATAAATGCCCAGATGAAAAAAGTGTCAAAAACGATATTGTCCTCATCTGAGTACTTCTTCCAATAACCATACAATACACTGATTTATATTCAGTGCGTGGAAGCCTATATTTAAAGTAATAATTTCTAATACGCACTATAGGCCTACCATTATTCAATTGAATTCTCATTCTCTCTTACTACATGTAGTTGCTTTTTTCATACACTTGTCTAACACAATTTGAGTGTGAATAGCATGTATAGGCCTACATCTAGACAAGAACAAATGGTTTCTTTGCAGGCACCAGATAAGATAGTTACCAGGCGATGTTCGACAAACCTAACAGACTAACAAAAACATCTGTTGGCTGAGTAAATGATATGAATATAATTGTAGTTTACTTTGAATAATTCCGTAAATAGACTATCAGTGATTCTGTAGTGGCTGAACAGATAAGATAGTACAGCCGCCCTATCGCGGCCAAACCAACAGTATCCAACGGTTAGCAATTGAATCTGACAATTGAATTGAAGACCCTTTAGGCATTTTCACACTATTGTCTCACCTACCCTGTGTTGAAATCAACACTGATCCGCCGGTAAGTGGAATCGGGTCCCTTCCAACACTTGTAGTCAAGGCGCACAATTCACATCAACCCCCCCCCCCCCCCCCCCGGAAAAAAGGAGGAAATTTAATCTTGTTCACACAATACGTTTAATGCGGAAATCTCGTTCATCATTTTAACTATACCTGACTTTCATTGGAAAAATATCAGAGGATGAGATTAGACAGAAAACCTGCTCCAAAAATAATAAATATAAATAAATGGCATTTTTTTTAGCAGTTCATTGGACGGTAAGTCATGTTGAAATGTTTCATATGAATATTGCTTAAGGCCGTACGATATTGTCGCTTGTATTAAGTTTTTATCTTTTACTTTTTTGTGTTGTGAAAAAGATTGTTTTCTTTTGAAATACGCGCTTGAAATATTATAATTTAGATGTGTATTCACAGTGTTAAGGATATAAAAGTAAAATGCTCTATATATTTTAGATTAGAAGCATAAAAATGTAGTGCTATTTAAAGCACAATCATGTAAATTGGGTTTTTTCTTGCTCAGCTTAACAACTGTTTCTATTCAAGTTGGGGTGTGAGGTTTTTTTTTTATTCTCAGTTATTTGACTATCTTTCTTTTGGAAGATCAGCGATATTGCCCTTTGAATACTTTTGAAATATAATTGGACAACTGTTATTTATGTAAACATTAGATCACGAACATAGTTTTAATGTTATTTGCATAACTATCTGCTGAGAATATGTGCGCACATTTCATACAGCCACAACTTTAAAATGATATTTGACTAATTTGTATTGCCCTTTGAATACCTTTGAAATTGAAATACTAGTATATTATTGGACAACTGTAATTTATGTAAACATTAGATAATGAAACAAAGTTTTATTTTATTTGCACAATTTATTGAAAATTTGCGCAGACATTTTATAGAGCCGTAACTTTACTACATGAAAATGTTTGACATGCTTTTTATAAATCAAGTAATGAAATAATTCAAGCAATTAATTTTTTTAGAGTCAGCTGAATTTTGTGATGTTTTTATTAAAATAGACATAACTTGGGAATAGAGTATGCAAATTACGTGAAATTTTCACAACTAGTCAATAACATACTCTATTCCTATGTTATATTTGTGAAATGGAGTGAGCCACATATATTTTTTAGAAATCTGATTTGGTCTATTTCTATTGACTCACCCTGTATGTACACTTTGTACACTTTGTGTGATTTTCTGTCATTTACGTACATGTACCTGTACGCTACGTGAAGATGTAGGGAAAGTATTATTACGTTGATTATTCACAATAAAAGTGAAAGGTAATTACGTCTTTGCGACAGATGGCAGAGTTGATGTGGATGAATTAAACAATGATAATGCATTATGACAAACGATTAGGCCAAAAAAAAAATAATATTTCTGCTTCCAATTACATGGCATTTGAAAATAGGGAAGGTAGGTAGGGACATTTATTTTTTTATTTTTTTAACAATCATATGGAGGTGTCTGCGTGGTGTCTGTGAAGTCAAGGGTAAAAGGTAGTAATTGATTGTGTTCGGGTTTTTTCCCTCATTTTTCATAAACAAATTTAAGGAAGGGGCTGTCAAAATTGGGTAGGTTAAACGGAAGCACAACTGTTGTTTTTGGGTTTTTTTTTTTTGCCTTCATAAAATATGAAAATTGTGATGACAAACTTTTACATAGTTTATCACAGTTTTGTTTTTCTGTATATAGGCCTAGTCGTGGGAGATATCAGAGATTTCAAAATCTTTTATCCTAATTTTTGTCAAACCGAATAACGGTCTCCGATTTCACCGGAAGTTCCCATTCAGCTCACAGTCATGCACAAAAAGTGACGAGTGAGGTACCGCATGAAATGCCCTCGCAATGACTGGGTATAGATTCATTGACCACTGGGCCTGCACAACAACACTCCAGAGCTGTAATATTAGCAAAAAAACGTGATGGGAACTCTCTGACAATTCAGTCAAATGGGCAGGCTATTCATATACCAAGAAGACCGCTAGCAAGTGAATGCAGAACAATCGGTGACCATGGGCAAATTGAGGGATGTTCCAATTGATTTCAGCCCGAGTTACAAAAAATGGAAGTCTTAGGCCAAAAAAAAAAAGTCTCCGGTTTCTGGTATGGAGCTTGCCCAAAAAGTGGTGCGGCGACGCGGCTTTTTTTTTTTTTTTTACCTGATTTTTTTGCTTCAAATGTCGGCTGATGACTGCAAATGGTGTCCGACTAAACTTAGTGCAAATATATGGGAGTCAAGAGAGGCCACATAAAGCTTATTCTCGACCATAACCTTACCCAATCTAAAAACACGTTAAAATTGTGCAGCAGCAGGATTCCAGTCAAACCAGTGAGTTTGGCGGTTTTGAGACATCATCTTTTATTGAAAAAAAAACTTTTTCATTTTGCCGACGCGCATGGCTACGGCGACGTGTGCGCATACCAGAAACCGGAGACTTTTTTTTTTTGGCCTTACCGGTAATTTTTTTAAAGGTTGATTTCGAATATCCGGATTCCAAAATCGAAACCAAATAGTGGATTTTCAGACCAAACTTTTAAAAAAATCTTGATTTCTGTAATAAACCAAATTGTCAACAACAAAAATAGATATTGTACAAGTTAATCCTCCTACTATTTAAACAGTCACAGACAGTCAAATTTCCACCCACTTCCCCTGCAATACTTTCAATACAGGCTTGTCACCAACAGTCAGATCATGTGTCAAGCAAGCACTGTGACTAGTCCAATTCAGTCAACAGACCGTGAACAGACAAAGCATGCATGTTGTGAGCTCAGCTAGCTCATCAGTCACCCACAGTCAAAGCAAAGCTGTATTAAGTTCCACTGTTAATAAACAGTCACAGCCAGTCAATCCTGCTTCATGTACCGACAGTATCGGTAGGCTGGAAATTCTTTAAAAACAGTCACTTGATTGATTTTAACTGAAAGGACAATCTCTGTTTGCATAGGAGGGTTAATGTGTTTGTGAGTTTGATTTTAAGGTAATTCCTTTGTTGAAATGACACAAATATCGTACAAAATTACATTATCTGGTTTAAGTGAGGATTTGTAGACATAGTAATCTTTATCCTTGCACCCCTGGATAGCACAGTTATCGGCATCGTTGACCAAGTTACACATTCAGCTGTCGAAAGTGTCGCCTGGTATAATTCATAACGCTTGTACTTTGAGCGGCAAGTAAACACAACATGGCACCGCTGCTTGTGTCTAACCATTGCTACTGTATGGTAAGTTGGTTGCCAAGGACGGTTACCGTGACGACGCCTTTGGAGCGGTGTTGTCCGCCCAGTTATTGATTAATCCAGATTTTGGTCGCCAAGTTGACGGAAAGATCTGACACAAAAATGTTTTGGCAAAACAAATACAAGAAATTTAGTTTACCATTTTGATTTTAAAGGTTGTTATGTTAGACCTAAAAAATGGAGAGCTCTATTTTGTTTACACTAAAATTGAAAAATAACACTACATGGATGTGCTAAAAACTGGAAGTTTACTGAATTATCCTTAAATACTTGATATTTTGGATCCTTAAATAATTGACATTTAGAAAATTAGAGCATATATATTATGCCCCACAGAAAGACAATGTACGGTATGGATATTATTTTGTGGATTGTGACTGACTAGCCGACATTGAAGGGAAAAAAAAATTTGAAGATACAAGTTCTAGAGCTAATATTGCTCAACATGCTCAAGGAAGCTCTCAAAGGATGCTTGAAAATTGACTGTTGAAAAAAGTGACATTTGTTAAAAAAGAATAAAAGGAAAACGTGAAACTAATACAAACATCTTCATCTTCTCCAGACTACTCACACTTTTCGAATATTCCAATCAGAAAAATGCTATAGGAATATTACATGTACCGGTGTGGATGATCGATTACATTTTTTTTAATGTACTGGTACGTATGTACAATAATTATGCCCCCCAAAAAATAGTTCTGCTTCCGATTACATGGCATTCGAAAATAGGGTAGATAGGGATTTTTTGTTGTGTACGATCATGGAGGTGTCTGGGCGTAGTCAAGGTAAAAGGTAGTAATTGATGGTTTTGGGTGTTTTTTTCTCATTTTTCCCATAAAAAAATTAGGGTAGGGGCTGTCAGAATAGGGTAGGTAGGGAAACCGGAGGCAGAAGTATTTTTCTTTTGGCCTTACATACATACATAAAGGGTGTGCATAATTTACGGGTACCGTAGGTAGTACAGGAACAGGGTACCCGAGTGAAAACATGGGTACCCAGGTACGTG